GGCGACTTTTCTTTCTTTCTATTGCTTCAAGTCTCCTCTTCATCTGTGTGGAAATTGTCCAACATAGGAGGATTGATATTACATAGCATTTGATTAAGATGTAAAACCTAATGAAAACATTTAACTCCCTTAGACTGAATAAAGATTTTATCGAATGACTCGTTATTTACGGCTTATCAATCCTTTGCGTCTTATTTCCTGCTACAAAATATTTTTCAACTGTAACATTTTAAAAGTAGTACTTCATTTAGTGATACAATGATAGCGATTGAAGTTGCATTGAAATGTTTGATGATTGCAGATGGTAGGGATGTCAGAAACTAGAAGAGATTTCCACAGAGAAGAAGTGCTAGAAAAGAAATTCTTTAAACCCAACAGACGCTTTCCATCTATCTATTTCAACAATTAGACGATGAGACCTAACTGCCAATCTAGCAGCACGCTTAAATTCATGCAGTCGATGTACAAAAGAGGAGAGTTTATTTGAAGAAAGACTACGAAAATATGTATAGAAAAACCAAAGCTAAGTCACGCCACGTCACGTCTGTGGGAAAGTGACTGAAGTCGAGATGCCAGGTCAGGACCGATAAGATTACAAACTCTTCTTGGGATGTTATCAAGAATGTCGAGATAGACAGCAGAACAAAACCAAATATAGAAGAAATGTTCAATGCATGGAGGAACGGTAAATTTCTAAATGTAAAAGAGAGATTCTTGCAAGAAGGATTGTCTGTTATGGCTGAAAATTGCGTGACCGTAAAACTCGGGTTACATCTGGTGCCATTCTTTCATAGGATTTAACGTTTTTAAGTGTTTTTTGCCCTATCAAAACAGTCTAGGCATCGAGAAATTTACTTTACCAAGTAGATACGTTTACCTCAAGGCCTTTTTTTCATTCTTCTTCCAGTGTTATCATTTTTATTCGAGGCTGTATCTGCAATAAGCGTTTTCGGTTTTGGCATGTTGCCCGTTGCTTCCATCAACGGTTTGAAGCTGTCAGATCCTTTACCGTGGTCGCCATAACTTTGAGCAGTTTTTTTGTTGCACCAGTAAATCATTTCTGGTGTTTTTTGCTTTTTTTGTTGTTGTTATTTTGATCCTGGCCGGAGAGATTACATCCCCCCAACCTTCACGATTTTTGTTGGCTTAACATCTTGAACTAGTCTGGGAATATAAGAGTCCTTATTTTGATATACTACAGATACCGATCGCCTGATGATTACGTAAAAGCGAATGAAACTGGCAGTCGTAGTCGGTCACTGACCACTACAAATAATATAATTATAATTAAGTAATTCATCGAGTTTAGAAGAAACCTTAATAGAATGCAGAAAGCACTGGGCGGCCGTTTCGTCTTATATTTGGGACTCATCAGCAGTGCGCATCCACTAACCAGAATTGAAACCCGAACAGTTACGTTATCAGGCAAATCTCATACCAACTGAACAAACGGACCTCGGTGACGAAGAGTTAGCGAACTAGACTCGATATAGCGTTGCTCGATCACATATTCTGTAGTGGAACTCATCCGAGTTTCCCTTACCCCCACGAGCCACGACTAATATACCCAAGCCGCTCCATCCAGAGCTTTAGAAGCCGGTTCAAGTAAGGATATACAAGTGATAGAAATTAGGAGGATTTGAGCTAATTATAATTAAGTAATTCATCGCGTCTACAAAAAAGAGTATGCGCACTGCTAATGAGTCCCAAATATAGGACGAAACAGCCGTCCAGTGCTTTCTGCATTCTGTTGAGGTTTCTATCAGACTCGATGAATTAATTAATTATTGTGGCGTATCTGACGATGGATTCATTACAGTCTTTCCACCTGATGCCAGATGATAGCCCAAGAAGTCGCAAATTTCAATTTTGATATTCTCACGTTTGATGGTATCAATTTCAAATGTTTGATGGAAACTAAACATTTCTTTTTGTCTGTTCATATTACGTCACCTTGAGTAAGGTGAAATTGATTCCATCAAATGAGTGAAACTAATTCCATGAAGTGTGAGAATGCCGGGAATAAAAACCATTTGCATAACTAAACACAAAATAATAATAGAAAATAAAAAAGAGTATCGAATATACTGAAGAGAAAAAATAATATAAATAAAATTTGACATGAATTTTGGCAAACAAAACAACGTATTCGAAAATTTGAAAGATTATATATATATATATATATATATATATATATATATATATATATATATATAATAAAAGTGAACATAGAAGTCAACACTTAGAGGCGACAGTCTGTTTCATGCTATATGCAATCGTCAGGCCACGTGTGCTGTTATTTTTCTCGGCTATTTATATATATACTGGTCAGTGGTGCATTGTGGGTAGTCTATTATGGCGGTTATTTTACCGGAAGTCGTTTATTTATTTATTTGGGTTAAATTATTTTGCTTGTTTTATTTATTTTTATTTTTTGTTTCTTATTTTATTTATTTTATTTTTTATTCGGTGTTTTTATTAACGTAGTAAAAATTTGTTTATATCACTTATTGAATAGTTTTGTTTTGGTTTGAGAATTTAATTAAAGCTATTTGTTCGGTTTTGGGGTTGATTGTTGTAGTTTATTCTAACTATTATTTTGGCAGAAACAGTTTTTAATTTGTGTTTATTTGGGTTGATTATCTTTATTTGATTTTTCTAACGGTAACTTTATCGGGATTGATTTGTTTATTTATTTACTTGGATGAATTTAGGTCAATTTATTTTACTTGTATATTTTCTCTTTTTGGTTTCGATTTTTAAGTAACGTAGTATTTATTTTTATTTTTATTTTTTTTTTTTTATTTTATTTTATTTTTTTATCGTTATATAACAGTTATAGCTATTTTTTTCGTCCAATTTTTTGGCTTGATTTTTTAGTCTAACTAATATTTTGGTCATAATGGTTTGCTACATTGTTTATTATTTACTTTATTTATTTGGGTTCGTTGTTTTTTGTTTTGTTTTTTTTTTTATTATTATTATTATTATTATTCTATTTCGTTTATTCTAACAGGTATGATTTGGTAATTTGTTTACATTTTGATACACATCGAGCAGATATGAATGTAAGAGATAAAACCATGGATAATTGTAGTTTAAAAACAGTAAAATCGACCTTTCTAACCGAAATGCTCCTCTGTGGCGAAATCAGTAAAAGCACGACAGGCTATATGACAGTTCCGTATAGGAAACAGGTTCGATTCTTGTCGGAGGACACATATTCTCTATGAAAGTTTCTCGGACATTCAGGTCGGTAAATGTTGTTAATACTGTTTATTATAAACAGAGCATTTACATAAATATTTAGATCTGTAAAAAGAAGACGTATGAACATATATATATATATATATATATATATATATATATATAAATATTTCAGGTATGCAGAAAATAGAAAAGAACACGTTAGGTGCATAATCCGGAGTTCCTTAGCATTTTTGTTTTTTATTTTTTAGAAGATAGTGCTCCATACAGAAGTAGAGCTTATATTATAATATTTTTTTTGTTTAAAAATATGATTCCTTTTCCTGCTACATAAGAGTTCTCATGTTTCAAAAAACGAGAGTCGAAACCATCCAAATAATTATTAAAATTAAGTTGAATTGAGGTGTTTAGTCCTGTTTCATCTTCAAGCGAAATTTTAGGAATAAGCTATCTCTTGGTTTACGTGTGTTTTTTTAGGCATGGTTTGTTATAACATTCGTTATTGTATTGTGGCTAGGCTAGTTCTCTTCGTTAAGTGGTCAGAGAAAACTTCTTATCTATAGATTCATCATCTTCTGAGAGGTTTTTGCTCAGGGTTGGGTATTTATCTATTTCAAAGGCGAATGTTGGTGGTCATCCTCTAGTTAGTTCCCAGTGAGGGATATTTTTATGGCGCGCCTACAAGTCGTTATTTGTTTTACAAGGATTTTGTTTTTTATTATCTATCTGATTATCTATTTATTTATTTGTTTATTCAAGTGGATGTTTTATATACAAACCGTATTACACTGAATTTCAATTTATTTTGTTGAGCCAAATCATTAAATAGGAAAAACCCTTTCTGTAGTCGTCAAAAAACAGATTCGATCCTCCTAGCTTGATTTCTACTTGGGGGTACGCGCTCCGGGAATTACCAAAACGTAATAAGAAAAACTATAAGAACAAGTAATACAAAACATATGTACTGGATTCATTTTTTTTTCACTTTCATTGACGCTGTCACACATCGAGAAGGTCTGTATGAACATCATTATTTTCATGGTACAAAGTGTTCAGGCGCCATGTCCTGTGTGATATTTTACGAAGCTGTGATTTGTTGGTTGTTGCAAAGGCTCTCCGAACGGCGTCCTTCAACTTATGGGTATTCTTGTATCGTTCATGCGAAAATGTTTCCTTGATAACTCCCCCCACAGAACGTTGTTATATTATGTAGGGATGACAAGACCTTCGGACAAATCTGTACAATACCTGACTAAGAATAAAAGGGACAATAAAAGAAGAAAAAGGAGAAACAGTAGAAGATATATTCCACAAGAAAGAAAGAAAGACGGGTAAATCATATGTAAACAAAGAAGGAAATGTTTGAAAAGAAGGAAAAAAACGAAAGAAATGAAGAAATCTAGAAAATGAAAAAAGAACAAAGCCGAAATCGTGATTTTGAAAGAGAGAGATGAAATAAACCAAGAAAAAAAAAAGATATAATTTTTATATCGAGGTATGAAAAAGAAAGAAAAAGAAAAATCCAAAAAAGAAAGAAACACATCGGAAAAATCTGGAAAGAGAAAAATCGAAATATAGAATTGAAATACGAAAAAAAGACAGTGATGAAGAAAGACAGGAAGAAAGGAAAGTAGGAATCAAAAGCAGAAAGACAAAAAAATCGAGAAATAAAAAGAAAGGAAATGAGAAAGAAAGAAAGAAAGAAAGAAAGAAAGAAAGAAAGAAAAGCATGAATAAAAAGTAAGGAAGAAAAGAAAAAGTAATCAAGAAATAGAAAAGGAGAAATCGCGAGATTAAAAAAAAGAAAGAAAGAAAGAAAGAAAGAAAGAAAGGCAGAAATCAAAAGTAAGAAAAAAGAAAAAAATCGAGGGATAGAAAAAGAGAAATCTTGAGATTGTAAGAAAGAAAGAAAAAGAAAGAAAGAAAATATAAAAGGAAAGCAGGATTTGAAAGTAAGAAAGAAAAGAAATAATAAGAGAGAAATCGCAAGATAATAAGAAAGAAAGAAAGAAAGAAAGAAAGAAAGAAAGAAAGAAAGAAAGAAAGAAAGAAAATATAAGAAAGAAAAGCAGAAATGGCAAATTAAAAAAGAAATAAAAAACACCAGAAAATAGAAAAGGAAGAAATGGTAAAAGAAAAAGAAAGGAATAGAAATTAAAGAACGAATTTACCAAACAGGTAAGATGGTAAGTTATGGAAAAGGAAAGGAAAGGAAAGAAATATCGCGAATAAACCGACATATAAACCATTTCTTTAAAGCTATTTTTCTTGTCGATTATTGCGAGAATGTGCACCTGCCAAAAATCCTTTGACGTCATTGCCCACGTGATGTCATTAGAAACTTTCTTCATTTCCATATTTAAAAAAACAAACAAACAATAAAACAATGTCGACGCTGATTTCTACACAAGATAAGCAGAAACCCTTTCACATACAAGATCTTATCGAATATCTAATGATAACGCGAATTAATCCGTTTGGCTTTATAATCTTATCTTACTTTTTAATCTAGTAGATTAAATAATAGTTTGTCAGATATGTGAGAAAACGTTAACGAGATTCGAACTATAGAGAGAGGACTGCCACCTACGGATTTTTTTAATACCCCCTATCATTAATTAAGAAGAAAGTTCCACACAGACGGCTTTTTATGGAACGACTGCTACAAAAGAGGAGCAGACCCCACCTCACGTGCCCCCTCCGCGCTGCCAAAAATAAAAAATGTGAAATTAACCATTTCAAGTCAAGGAATCAATCGTTGCCAAACCCCCTCACCATACGCACCCTTTGTATTCAGAAACTCAAATATAAACAGTTTAACAATAATACTCTGTACAATAAACTTAACATCATTTAGTAAAGAGTCAACCTTTATCTATCCTCTTTATCCTCATCATCTTCGCTTCCTACACCCTCCTCTTTTATTCATATCACACACCTTATTCATTATAACCATTTAACAGTAACACTCTACAAAAAATATTAACTTCCTCAGGTCAAAGGTCAATCTTTATCTATCCTTCTTATCCTCATCATCTTCACTTCCTACCCGCTCTTTCATTCATATCACACACGTTATTCATTATAACCATTTAACAATAACCCTTTACAATACAATCTTAATTTCGTCAGGTCAAGGATCAACCTTTATCTATCCTCCTTATCCTCATCATCTTTCATTCATTTTACACTTATAATTAAATTTTTCATTCTATAAATATACACTTTATTCATATATAACCATTTAACAGTAACCCTTTACTATACAATGTTAACCTTCAAAACTCTAACTGAGTCATTGTTGGTCAATCTTTATCTTCCTTTCTTATCCTCATAATTTCACTTCAATTCTTTTTTTTTTTTAGCATTCATATCTCGCATATTATTCACTAAACCTCTAACCTTTAATGTTAAAATTTCTAGAAACGCTTCAAATCAACTATTTGCCATTTGTTTAGCCATGCGTTTATTTGTCGTATATTTTTTAACAATCTAATCATGGGGTCCATCCATGACTTCCTTTTTCGTTTGCTCTAGGATATAATTTTTTAAAATTTTATCATCCATTCTCTTACTTGCTTTGTCAACTATTCACTGAAACCCGTTAGGTAACTTTTCGATATTCTTCGTCTTAACATGCTTTGAATATGCCTTGCGATTGTTAAAATTTCCAGGCCTTCTTTCCTCATTATGTGTCGATGAAATTTCAGTTGACTCTTTCTGATTTACATGCAAATCCTTTGTTCTTGAGCCTCTTCCTTCTATCTCAAGTTCTGTATTTCTCTGTCGTCTTCCTTCAGGACATGGAGACTCATGGTAAAAGTCCAAACTCCTAACCTTTTATTGGAATTTATTTCAGCAGCTTTCTTCCCTGCCTACGGGCCTAATAAGAGTTCATCCAGAATAATCCGTTCCAGCATCCATTCGCACAAACTTGTCAGGAAATCTACCCATAGGTTCCCTTATATATATAAATATATGTCGCATGCCTTCCACCTATATTCAAATCCTTTCGACAAATCTCCCACGAAACATAAACAAACATTTCTGTTCCGCCGATAAGACTGAAGTGTCAAATATTTTGGCTGAATTTTCTCCGAGATAAAATGACCTTGTGTCGTATTTTTTTTGGTCGAACTTCACTCTTCGGTGTCATTTTGGGAAAGGAACCCCGGACGAGGTTCCGCCGAAGGGCAGAATCTCGTTCAGGGTGAATGACCCTCCCTATCTCGTTTTTTACACTATGTATATTTTTGGCCCTCTCAAACCCACGATAAAAATGACCTTGTGTCGCAAGTGGGGGGTGGCTAGATACTGAATCAAGCCGATCTTTTCGACTTGACGGTCGAACTCTCTGCTTTTGAGCAGAAAGGAACCCGGACGAGGTTCCGCCGAAGGGCAGAATCTCGTTCGGGGTGAATGACCTACCCTGATCTCGTTTTTACGAGTCATACGGGCATATTTTTGGCTGAGCCTACGGGCTCAGGAAACCCACGATAAAAATGACCTTGTGTCGCATGCAACCCTCGTGGGGGTGGCTAGATACTGAATCAAGCCGATCTTTTCGACTTGACGGTCGAACTCTCTGCTTTTGAGCAGAAAGGAACCCGGACGAGGTTCCGCCGAAGGGCAGAATCTCGTTCGGGGTGAATGACCTACCCTGATCTCGTTTTTACGAGTCATACGGGCATATTTTTTTGGCTGAGCCTACGGGCTCAGGAAACCCACGATAAAAATGACCTTGTGTCGCATGCAACCCTCGTGGGGGGTGGCTAGATACTGAATCAAGCCGATCTTTTCGACTTGATGGTCGAACTCTCTGCTTTTGAGCAGAAAGGAACCCGGACGAGGTTCCGCCGAAGGGCAGAATCTCGTTCGGGGTGAATGACCTACCCTGATCTCGTTTTTTTACGAGTTATACGGGCATATTTTTTTGGCTGAGCCTACGGGCTCAGGAAACCCACGATAAAAATGACCTTGTGTCGCATGCAACCCTCGTGGGGGGTGGCTAGATACCGAATCAAGCCGATCTTTTCGACTTGACGGTCGAACTCTCTGCTTTTGAGCAGAAAGGAACCCGGACGAGGTTCCGCCGAAGGGCAGAATCTCGTTCGGGGTGAATGACCTACCCTGATCTCGTTTTTACGAGTCATACGGGCATATTTTTGGCTGAGCCTACGGGCTCAGGAAACCCACGATAAAAATGACCTTGTGTCGCATGCAACCCTCGTGGGGGTGGCTAGATACTGAATCAAGCCGATCTTTTCGACTTGACGGTCGAACTCTCTGCTTTTGAGCAGAAAGGAACCCGGACGAGGTTCCGCCGAAGGGCAGAATCTCGTTCGGGGTGAATGACCACCCCGATCTCGTTTTTACGAGTTATACGGGCATTTTTTGGCTGAGCCTACGGGCTCCAGGAAACCCACGATAAAAATGACCTTGTGTCGCATGCAACCCTCGTGGGGGTGGCTAGATACCGAATCAAGCCGAGCTTTTCGACTTGACGGTCGAACTCTCTGCTTTTGAGCAGAAAGGAACCCGGACGAGGTTCCGCCGAAGGGCAGAATCTCGTTCGGGGTGAAAGACCTACCCTATCTCGTTATTACGAGTTATACGGGCATATTTTTGGCTGAGCCTACGGGCTCAGGAAACCCACGATAAAAATGACCTTGTGTCGCATGCAACCCTCGTGGGGGGGCGGCTAGATACCGAATCAAGCCGATCTTTTCGACTTGACGGTCGAACTCTCTGCTTTTGAGCAGAAAGGAACCCGGACGAGGTTCCGCCGAAGGGCAGAATCTCGTTCGGGGTGAATGACCTACCCTGATCTCGTTTTTACGAGTTATACGGGCATTTTTTTGCTGAGCCTACGGGCTCAGGAAACCCACGATAAAAAAATGACCTTGTGTCGCATGCAACCCTCGTGGGGGGGTGGCTAGATACTGAATCAAGCCGAGCTTCTCGACTTGACGGTCGAACTCTCTGCTCTGAGCAGAAAGGAACCCGACGAGGTTCCGCCGAAGGGCAGAATCTCGTTCGTGGAATGACCTACCCGATCTCGTTTTACGAGTTCTACGGGCATATTTTTGGCTGAGCCTACGGGCTCAGGAAACCCACGATAAAAATGACCTTGTGTCGCATGCAACCCTCGTGGGGGGGGTGGCTAGATACTGAATCAAGCCGAGCTTCTCGACTTGACGGTCGAACTCTCTGCTTTTGAGCAGAAAGGAACCCGGACGAGGTTCCGCCGAAGGGCAGAATCTCGTTCGGGGTGAAATGACCAACCCTGATCTCGTTTTTACGAGTTATACGGGCATATTTTTGCCGAGCCTACGGGCTCAGGAAACCCACGATAAAAATGACCTTGTGTCGCATGCAACCCTCGTGGGGGGTGGCTAGATACCGAATCAAGCCGAGCTTCTCGTCTTGACGGTCGAACTCTCTGCTTTTGAGCATAAAGGAACCCGGACGAGGTTCCGCCGAAGGGCAGAATCTCGTTCGGGGAATGAATGACCTACCCGATCTCGTTTATACGAGTTATACGGGCATTTTTTTGGCTGAGCCTACGGGCTCAGAAAACCCACGATAAAAATCTGACCTTGTGTCGCATGCAACCCTCGTCGTACGGGCCTGGGGGGTGGCTAGATACCGAATCAAGCCGAATCTTCTCGACTTGACGGTCGAACTCTCTGCTTTTGAGCAGAAAGGAACCCGGACGAGGTTCCGCCGAAGGGCAGAATCTCGTTCGGGGAGAAATGACCAACCCGATCTCGTTTATACGGGTTATACGGGCATTTTTTTGGCCGAGCCTACGGGCTCAGGAAACCCACGATAAACTCGGCCTTGTGCCACATGCAACCCTCGTGGGGGGTGGCTGAATACCGAATCAAGCCGAGCTTTTCGACTTGACGGTCGAACTCTCTCTCTTGAGCAGAACCCCCGGACGAGGTTCCGCCGAAGGGCAGAATCTCGTTCGGGGAGGTTGACCAACCCTGATCCCGTTTATACGGGTTCTATTTCATTTTTTGGCTGAGCCTACGGGCTCCAGGGAAACCCACGTTAAACTCGGCCTTGTGTCGCATGCAACCCTCGTGGTGGTGGCTGGGGTTTCCTGAGATACCGAATCAAAAATAGACCGTTTCGGCTCGACGTTCAAACTTGTCTGCCTTTGAGCAGAAATCAAGAAACTACCCGGACGAGGTTCCGCCTAAGGGCAGATCCTCATTCAGGGCAGGTTTGACAAACCTGATTCTGTTTTTACAGTTTCTACGGGATTTTTGACCGAGCCTATGGGCTCTTTAACCCACGATAAAATGGC